GGGGGGGGGGGTGCGGGGAGGCAGATCAAAGCCCCTGTAGTAAGGGAGGCAGTGGGGCTGGAGCAGGCACTGCCCAGCCAGGGAGGATCATGGTGTTCGATGAAGCCACGGGTGGCTCATCCAGGGGGCAGGGAAGGAGGCTCCCACTGCTGTGCACACCCTCAGGGAGGCACGAGTGGGTACGTGCCCCCTGGATTTGTGCACTGCAGCCTCTTCTCAGTGGAGGGGGTGGTCTGGGGCTGTGTTTGGGGCACGCAGGGGTGGAGTGGGCAGCGGCAACACTGGGAAAATTGCAGCCGTCCCAGTGCCACCACTACAGGGGGCCTGCAGCCACCCTGTAGCCCCACTCCCAGCACCGCTGCTGCCCACCCCTCCCCTCCCAAGCGCAGACCCAGGCCAGCACTCCTGCTGGGAAGAGGCTGACACAGCCTCCGACCCCTCACCCACACACAAATCCAGGGGGCACATGCCCCTCATGCCTCCCCCAGGGGTGTGCACAGCAGCGGCAGTCCTCTCACCCCTGCTTCCTGGATGAGCCACCTGCAGCTCCATCCTGAACACTGTCCCACCCCAGTGGGGCAGGTGCCTGCTCCTGCCCCACTCCTACCTTCACCGTGGGGGCCTTGATCTGCACCCCCCCCACACACACACACCCTTTCCCTCCCCCTACACAGCCCCAGCAGGGGGCTGCCCTCCAAGCTGCCGGGCTGCATTCCCACCATGTGCTTGCTGCAGCTGTGCACATGCACGTAACATTTATCGATGCCATTATCAGCCCAAAAAAGCTGATGGCCGATAACGTCAGTTTTCCTTTTATTTGTGCTAATACCAGATGGACTGATATATCAGCATACCTCAATGAAGTACATTCTAAATAAGGTTTTGAAACAGTGGCTAACCTGTTTAGGCTCAAAGCATTGCATGTTAGACTTAGCTCAAAACAACCCTTGGAAAACACCAAGTTTTAGCTTTCATTAATTTGTTTGTTGTTGTTGTTGTTGTTTTTTTTTTTAACTACAAAAAAATAGAGCAATGGTTCTGTTACAAAGAACTCCAGAAGACCACAATAGGTCAGAACCATTTTCACATTATGGATTCTGGTTTGAAATCTCTGGGTTTATCTTGTGAACTATGTGTAGGTGGTTGCACACCCAACAGTGTTAATGATGCACAGCACCCTTAAATGGGATCTCACAGCACCCCATATTGGCACACTCCAGAAATAACTGTTTTGAAATGCTTACCCGAATACTATGCCACATTGTTAAGCTTCCCTTTAAAGGAGCAGGAAACACAGCTACTATAGGACTATCAGCTTTGCAACATGTCTTTCTTAAGAATTTAAGGTCCGATCCTAATAGGAATTTAAAGCACCACTAAAATTTTGGTGCCTTGCCTCCAGCAAATTATTACAACAGACAGGATTAGGCCATCAAGTTTATTATAGAGCAAGCAGGGAGACCTGGGAGCCTTGCAACAGAACCTAGAGCACCTTGTACTTCAGCTGGCCAGCAGCAGACACTATACCTCAGTTTCAGTGGACAAATCAGGACTGTGAAGGAGGTTGCTTCCTTCACGTCAAGATCCAGATCACTCAGGATGCTACCCTGCCAGTAGCAGTAAGTGTTAGCTGTCCTGGCAGCACGGACAAGAACCCAGGAGTCTCCTCTCCCAGAAGGCCTCAACTGGGCTACAATGTCACACTGCTGCTTGCTGGATCCCTGGACTATTAATGCTTTAGAGTTTTTGTGTTTTTTTTTTAAATTCAGTTTATCCAAATAAGGATGTTGCCATGCTTGCCTGCTCTCCTACTGACCCCATGAATTAACACTCGGCTGGCCAGTTTCAACATGAGGGCACTCTTCGGAGAAATGAGTTTGAATTACATCAGGCAGAAGCAGCTCTAAAAAACATGGCCTCCTAGAAGGACTCCTACCACTAAGGCACTGGAGAAAAGTTGGGAATCCCCACCACCATTTTGTATTGAGGCTCATGCATTTGTCGGCTAGATGAATGTGGACATCAGCCACTAAACATGGCCTGTTCCTGCCTAAGGAACTGGAAACCGATATATGGGGCACGCTCAAAAACAATCCAGATGGGCCACCTTGAAACATATCTAAATGGGAGTGGGAGGTGTTGAACCTTATTTTCAAGACAGATAATAATCACTGAATCAGTTTTGTGGCATGGCTGATTAAAATAGCATTTTTTCACTTAAATAGAAGTTTGAAGCTTAAATTCTGCCTCAGTGCATACAAGGTCAATTAGACCCGACAGAGCAATGCATGGCAGGCATAGAGGACAGAGGTAGCACAGGGAAAGCCACAACAGTCACCTGCTGCTCCCCTCCCTTCCCCAATATTTGACTCTAAAACAAAGGTCCCTCCCCTTCCTTCCCCAAATAATGAATGTGGTGGGGAACTCATCTTATATTTGAGTAAATATTAGCTTTTATTCAATTTATACACCACCTATCCCAAAAAAAGCTCAGGGTAGCTTACAATAAGGAAACCTTATAACTTAAAAACAAACACCTAAAAATATGTACTTAATGGTGTCCCTTATGTAGAAACCAGGGCCTCTCTCTGTCAATGATAGGTAAGAAGTATACTTACCCAGCATTTGAGTTATTGTGCCTTCAAACTCTGCAACAATTTTTCTAAAAAAAGAATGTTGAGAATAAAATGAGAAAAAAAATTCAACTGAAGGAAATAAACCAAGCTGGACTATTAGCAGGCACTTACCCCATTTCTAGGTATTCCAAGTGGAGTATATTGTGTTTCTTCTTCCACTCGAGAATTTCCATCTGCTTATCGAGAACCTAAAATAAAACAGTCTTTGGTTTCTTTTACAGGAATCAATACAAACATAAGACCTTTGAAACAGAAATGAGAGAGAAAATTGACGGATCTTGACAGAAGGCAATGTTTATCAGAATGACTTGGTCCCTTTGAGACCACCAGGACTAGGCTTCCTCAAAAGGGCAAAAACTTTACCAAGTTTTTGGAAAGAAACCATCTGGCCTAGCTGTAAAAAAAAAACACAGGGCTGTTTTACCCAACCTAGTGTGACCACAGGATTTGCCAGAAGCACATTCACTCTTACTTGTTCCACTTCTAAGCAATCTTTACATGGAAGCATTTCCTGAGTATATAGCCTAGATCTTTCTTATGTCAGGTCATTGTTCCTTGCCCCATATCAGAAGATGATGGTGGAGCAAGATCCTCATGAAGCACATAATATGGGGAGGAGGTAGCCAAAAATAGGTAGCGTGTCAATGAAGGGCAGAGAAAGTCCAGATGCACTCACTCACTGTCATTACAAGAGCCAGGGGAGAATCCAATGAACAGGAAAGACAGTAAAAAAATTTAGACCTGAGAGTTTCTTTTACACAACAAAGTGTGTAAGCATGTCTTTGTAGGCAGCTGGCCTGTATCAGATACAGATCTTGGCTAGTGTGTGCAGCTAAACAGTGACTGAGTAGAGAACATTTAGGAGGCAAGAGAGGTGTGACAAGTTCTTGTTTATTAAAATTCTCCTTTTAAATTAGAGTTAACCAACAAGTTCTCTCACAAGTCATCAAATAATTAAATGTGTTCCAAAAGTAAGTGCTCAGGTATTGGGAGTGGATCTACTCTTCTTCAGAGCTTAAGTGGAATAGGGTTTTATTCTCTGTAACAGAGAGCTGTGGTACCCTTAAATGCTTATTCCCTATTTAAGAATGTCATACCTCTTGTTTAACCACTTCAACCGCTGCATCCAGGTCTTTTTGGCTATATTTCAGCACATCTATAATAGCATCAATTGGAGTGTTTGCAGGTGCAGCAAAAGGAGCAAGTTGCGAAACATTACTGTCTGGGATATCCAGAGTTAGAAGAACTGTATCCTGCATAAAGACAGCAAAAAAGAGTTTAAGTGATTAATACAGCTACTTCCTATAGGTCATTCAGATTTTTAAAGATACCAACTTAACTTAAAAGTAATTTCAAAAGAAAAAAGAAAAATGTATTTGTCCAACTTGGTTAATCATTTTTCTAGTCTAGCAATTATGTTGTAAAACTGCTATGGTAAAATATGCTGCATCTTGGTCTTCATCTAGTCACACACAGCAGCTACCCGTGGCAAATTGAATACAGTGCAAAGACAAAAGAGGTGTACACCAATCTGAAATCTTACAAAGGTGATTAAATATAAAAGGTAGCATTTGGCACAGATAATATGGACTTTATTTTAGAAGTAGCGGTTCTGCCCCTCCCCCCCCAAAAAAGTTACTACTAAAATGGGGACCTATGCTACCTTTAGGGTCTGAAAGACAATATGTAAATTGAAAACTATGCCGGTTTGCAATAGGATTCCAAACGGGGTGGAAAACAGATATTGAGCATGTGATTGTATTTGCCACAGCTGAAGCTGTTCATCATACAGAAGCGGCAGTCTAACAATACCACCATCTAACATCGCAATGTCTCTAAATAAGGCTTCCTTTGAACTGTTTTGACATCGACAATTACATTCACTTAATGCTGCACCTAAATGTTAATGACTTGATTACCAAATATTGAAGCAGCATTCCAGGTATGATTGCTTGTTGTTTGTAAGCATACTACTTTCATTTGAAGACCATGCAGAGATTCACACTCCTAGATTCTTATGGACATTTGTAAAAGGAATCAATACCTAAAGACTGAATAGGTTTCTGTAGTTTTACAGCTCAGAGGCAGAAGTGTACTAAGCTGTCTGACATCTCTTGACACTACTAGTCTGTTAGTCTCACGATCTACCAACTGTACCCACGCACATCTGGTTTGAAGGTGCTGGTATTACAGTTGGAAATACTCTGACCCATGGCAGTTCAAAAATGCAGAATGGACAAGAGGTTGATAAACTCTGCCTAATTCTCCCATTGCAGATGTCCCTCCAGAAACCCAAACAAGCAGCTTCAAACACTTCAGATGTTCTTACTGGAGCTGTGAAAGTTCCCAGAAGATCCAGTCCTTTAGGTTTCTCTTCATTTTGAAAAGATTCAATTAAAGGTGTTATGGTTTCCCCAGAAAGTTCACTTAGTTCAACAAGAGGCCTGAAACAAGTAGACAGACAATTAAAAAAAAAAAGAGGCAACAGAAAACTCAGAACAGAGTTTAGGCAATTTACTTTGGTTTAGTCTATACATACCCACTCTGAAGTGGTGCATTTATTAGGTTTGTTTCATTGGTACCAGGAACCAGCTTTTTGGGGCTGTCTCTTAGCAGGGGGTCAAATTTCAAATACAGTGACTGTTTCCTCAAAGCAGACTCTTTGAACTGCAAAGAAATAGTGAGATAGGTCAGCCACCACAGAACTCAAAACCCTCTGCTCTCTTGTGTAAGAGCAACCTTACACAAATGTTCTGCTACCACCTTATCACTGGTCTGCAACAGCAACATGAAATGGAAAAGTTAGTTTTATTTCCATTCATGTGTCAACTTCAGCCTTAACTAACTGCCAACAATGACAGCCATCATGGTAGGATTACCAGGACTCATCTTAACCCACTGCCTCAACATAGCCATTAGATGGTACGTTCATGTCTACTACTGGCTGGATCAGATTCAAATTTGTAGCATAGTAAGAAAAGGGTTCTCTGGAGTTTGCCTACAGAGTAGGGTTTCCAGTTCACAGGAAGTTTTGCTTTATTGAAATTTGCCCAAAACACACTGACAATTTTTTTCAGGAATAAGGTGCCCCTGGCAAATATGCATTAAAACGGACATTTGTCCATCTCATCACTGCTAGTGAATGGTCATCTCCAGCCTGTAGCCACTGGACTTTGCATGGGGAATGAGGCAGACGAGTACTCCTTGTTTCAGGCAGACCGAGTCTAGTAATGTGGAAGGCCTAGCTTACAAGAGATGTTCCAAAGCCCTGCGTATATCAAGGGACAGACCAAGAAACCAGACAAATTGTTAGAATAGCACCTAAAACTAAGACAATTGAAACCTGAAACATTTGCAAGACATCTTAGGTTTGACAGACCTTATTATTCTCTCCCTGTCCCTCCCTCCCAACTCAGGAAGCCGAACAGTTTAAGCACCATACTTACAGAAGAAGTTCCAAACTGTTCCAGGTAGTCTATTTCTATGCTTGCTCCTAAAACTAGGAAGTTAAAAAGGAAATTACTAATACAGTGAAGATATAAACATTGCAGTACTGTTGTTATGCACACCATCAACAAAGCTTCAGAAATTACACCAAAAGGAAACAATGATAAAATCCCTGTCCATCGGTTCCTGTTAAAGAGGTTAAGTTGTAGCAGAAGACAACTGAATTTCAGCCTGGATGGGGGAAAAAAAACCTCTCTCTACTGTCAAATACATGTAGTTATTCAAGAACTTTTATGTTCATTTGAAAAATTAGTTAGCCTACTTTAAGCTGTGAAGCATGCTCAAGTGGACACTGCTCTTGTACAAACGTTATTTTTAGCACATTGCAAATTGACAGTTTCACAGTTTCTAGGGTCGGAAGTTAAATGATAAGCAGCCAGATACTACGTCAACTTAGCGTAGTCATTTTCCAATATACCAGCTTCACTTTGATATTAAGATGTTTTAGTGACAGAAAAAAGTAAGCTCATTTGGTCACACTTACAAAAAAAAGTAACAGGCAGTCATCTAGACTGCAACTAAACGTGATCTTTTGAGCACTACGCAGTATATTTTTTCAAATTGCAATCCCATACCCAGACTGTATTTAATAAGAAAGGGCAGAAAAACTGCATCTGCATCACTGTAGCTGTATGTCTGCATTTGAATAGCCCTAAGAATACTATTAAGTGCTTTTATTAATTGAATGTGAACACACGTGCTTTTCTAATGCTGCAACCTGCCAATGAAACCCATTTGAAGAAGAAAAAAAAGGATTTTCACTCCACAGATGGTATTGCTTGGACTGTATCTAAATTTATTTCTGGTTATTTAAGTTAAGTCTACATCAATGCAGGGTCACTGTTGAGATCAGGGACCTAAATTAAAAGTGAGCCATCTTCCCTGTCTGTACCATACTGAAAAGACGTGCGCACTGTGCTTCTCGTTTCTTGAGCACAGCTTTTAGAAGCCTCCACAGAGCCCTTTTAAGAAACTGTTCTATGGACATTTTGTTTCGGTTAATGGACAGTGTTGAAAAGAGTAGAAGCAAAAGGGCTAGAAGTTAGGAAGGACTTGTGGAATTGCTGTTTGAAGACACTGTTGGCTTCAAATCCAATCGTTTCCAAAAACAAACTAGTTTTGGGTACTTCCCCTTCTTCTAGTACCCACCATGTAATTACTGTGGCTTTATAGTCATTTGCCTCCGCCCTACCCCAGCTGCCACGACAACCTTTTTAAAAAAAGCAAAGAAAGCTACTGTGTGGTACAAGTGAATGAAGGAACCTTATTAACTGTTCATGGAAACAGACCACGAAGCAGGTTTTCCAATGTACAGTACAGTTCGAGAGCACTTTTTCCTCCCTGTAAATATCTCTGTTAGGTCATGTGTTTGAATTTAGAGGAGTGTCACTTTAAAAAACAAACAGGATAAGATGTAGAGAATTAAAATTAGTAACCAAATATGTTCCTGTAATAAATGAAAACATGCCTCTAAGTTTGTCTCAGCAATTAAGGAGAAACTGCTCTTACCTTCTGAAGAAGGTCTGAAGTACTCTTCAGCTTCAGGGCCAGCAGTCTGATCATTTAAGTCTACTGCTATTTCAGTTGTCTTGCCACTGGGTTCAAGTTCTTCATCAACTACCAAGGATTTTCCACTACCAGTTAAAGCAGCAGGGACATCAACTGGTGAGCTATTCAGCGGGCTTGTACTTGTTTTTTCCTTCAGGAAGAGGGGGAGAGACTTTTTAGATCTAATGTCCCTCTGAGTGCTCCATAATCACCCTTAAGCACAGAAGTACTGGTCAGGTTGGTTTGTTACCAAAATAGACCCCAGAGTCCATCGGGACAAAAGACTTCTAGTGGCCCCAGGATGCAGTTCAACACAGTATATGTAAATCCTCATTACAGATAAGAATGACATATCCAAGATCCCGTCCTCAATCTAAAATTTTCAGGGCTGTATACTTTATACTCCTGGCTGAAGAGATGTTCCACAACATCAGTTTGGTCACTTTATTCACAATGTAGTACAATTAGAGAGTCCAATCCCTCTTTTCAAAGAAGAGACTGTTCATTGTATTTCAGGAAAAACAAGCGTCTAGGCTTCTGAAATCTCAGCCTGTGGAAACTATATAGCATGCATATAGCATATCATATCATATCGGGGAGGAAGGAGGAGAGGAAGGGGAATAAGAATTTCACTGAAAAACAGAGCAGTTTTCTATTTAACAGCATACAGTTTTAACCAAGATCTGGCTAATCTTGAGTTTATACATTACCACAGCTAGTTCTCCTGAGGACTCTACTTCTGCTTGAACCATAGGCTTGTCTTCAGCTATAATTTGCTTAATAGCTTCCCTAAAGACAGACAGGTGGATAAAATCAACCACAGCCGACTCACTCACATATAGGATTTGCATAGCCCCAGGTATCACTTCAGCACAGAAACCTTGTCTGAGACTGCACTAGGCCATCACTAACACCAGAGCCCCACAAGGGACGACAAGATCGAACGGTCACAAACTCCACTGTGACCGGTTCAGGCTGGACATAAGAAAGAACTTCTTCACTGTCCGAGCCCCCAAGGTCTGGAACAGACTGCCACCTGAGGCGGTTCAAGCACCCACTCTGAACGCCTTCAAAACACATTTGGATGCTTATCTTGCTGAGATCCTACGATCCCTGCTGACTTCCTGCCCCTGGGTTGGGGGGCTGGACTCAATCCTCCAGGGTCCCTTCCAGCCCAAATGTCTATGAAATCTATGAAACAACATTACCCTGGTCAAATGAAAAACTTGATGTTTAAAATATGGTCTGCAGTTAAGACACAGTAAATTTATACCTCCAATCCTTTCTGCCAAATCTGAAATACATAAAGGCACCATAGAATGGCCTACCATTCCACTTTCCTCAGCAGTTCAGTATATTCGATTCCTCCCCAGCAACTGAACCCTTATGAGAACTTTTCTACCCCCCCCATGCCCTCTCTTCACCACTCCACAAATTGGAAAACTTGGCTACTAACATTGGACTATATTATAAAAACAGTCCCTAAAGCCTCCTTATAGGAGGTGTTTGATGGTGATATGAATTGATCAACTGAAGAGTTAAGAAATCCCTGGAGGATTGAGCCCAGGATAGCAAATGTATTTCTGTCAAATGAATATATCCAGAAAGAGATTCTACACTGGACAAGCAGCCAATGTGTCCAGCAGTAAAGCTGCTGGCATTTGAGTAATTAAAACTGTTCTTCCACCCTAAAATGAACTGGGGCAGAGAAAAGCTTGCATCTCCTTATTGTGTGATTCTAGATCTATGGAGAACATTTATCCTGACAGAAGTATTCAGAACCAAAATTTGTGGGGCCTACACATAGTTCAGTGGCTCCCAACCCATTGCTTGCAGGCATATTCCCCTGATGTTATTGTGGCAAAGGAAATTTTAAAGAGTTAAAGCAAAAGTTGATGGGACAACTTGAAAGCAAAACATATGTGCAGCATATCCATTGCCCAGTTTGTAAGCTGCAAGACAGTAACACTTAGAGAATGTTGCTGTAGAGGGTCTTAAATTGCCCCCCCCCCCCCAAAGCTAGCACTTGTCTTGTATCCCTAGAAAGGGAAGTTAGTTACAAGAGACAACTGAGGATTTTTCCTCCTAGGACTGTACAACAGAAAAGCCATCCATTAATAACAAAATGCAGAAACCAGCCACTATTTAGTGAATACCCACTAAGCTTCAGAACCTGCTGTTGAGATGAAAGTAATAAGTATCTGTTTCATTTCCCTTTATGCTTTATTTCAGAGGAGTAGAGGCAGTGGGAAAAGGAAAACAAACAGAGACACTTGTCTATCGTCTTCCCTTCTCCTTTGCCTTTCTCTTAGTTGACTGATGGCGAAGAAGAGTCAAGATGTCAAGTCTAGCAATTTAGGAACCTGCAGATTGATACCAACCCTCAGAGCAGCACCAGGTGTGAAAGCAAGGGATTATATGTCAGCTACTAGCTACTTGCCTAGGACACTAAATTGATATATTAAAAAAGTCACCTGCCCACCAAAAAAGAGGGCGTGAGACAGCTCTATAGAGTTCAAGTATGTAGATTTACTTACTGACTTCCAGACCCATTTTTCTCAGCTGTCTTGTTATCACCTGATCTGTCATCCTGCTCTGCAGGAGGAAGTTCTCTTTCAGGAAAGGCATGATCTTCTTCCTCTGGCAGGTTAGCTTTTTCTGTGCTGGGGCACTTGGGTGAGCCACACACTTTGGAACCGCCTCCAAAAGGGTTAAAGTTGGGATCATCTAGCTTGTCCCAGTCAAAGGTATAAGATGCTTTGGGAACCAGAATTTCCTCTTCTGTTTTACTTTGGCTTTTTGCTTCACAGCTTTTTGATGTTTTTCCTTTAATTCCCACCACTTTTTTGAGAGGAGGTTTAATTCCAGATTTCTTCCCCAGTTTCTTAGGAGGTGGCTTTTTACTAACCACATTATCAAAATCAAATTCCAATTTGATGGATTCTGCCTTGCCAACACTAGGTTCTTCCACAGGTTTTGATTCTTTTGCTGAAATTGCTCCTGCTGCTGGAGAATTCTGAAGCTCTGAACTCCCAGTTTTTAAAGGATTTATTATGTCAGTGCTGTTTGGATCAAAGTTGTAGGACACTTCTGCAGGTGGTAGAATATTTTTTAGCTGCGTCAGTGTCTCAGAAGGATCAGTCTGGCTGTTTTCACTAGAAGCAGGCTTTGTATCCAGCTCAGAGTCATAAGGAATCACCTTAGGCTCATTACCCAACACCAGAGAAATTGTCTCTTTTTCCATACAGCTTGTAGTGTCTTCATTTAGCCTTGAAGGCTCTGGCACAGAAGCAGTTAGCGAGGAAGTAAAAACTGCATC